GGAGCGCTTGAAAGAAATGATCCTGGCAGTTGCTTCTAATGTCTTTCATAAAAGAGATCTTTCAGGTTTCGGTGGCTTATGAGTCCTAATCAACATGATTTTTTTTAATTTAATAACTGTGAACAGCTTGTGATTCATCATTATAAAACTAATGTCTCCCAGCAGTAACAACATGACTGTAGACATAGTCTAAGGTGGGAATCCTGCCAAAAACAATTACACTTTCTGCGTTATCCACTGGATCACTGTTGTATATTTGGAAATACTGTCCCTTCTTTTTCCTCCTGCTCCTGAGAGACCAAATGCCCCAGAACAATTGTAAGCATTTGTCTCAATACAAAGTCTAAACGCTTATTTTTAGCAAGTTTCTATTACATGGCATAGGTGCCCTCCCACTTATATTTAGAGGAATTTCACACATAAAAGCACATCACTGAGGTTCTTCAGCATACAACTGTGACACTGATCACTGCTGATGAAAATTTAGTTTTATCTGGATTAAAGTTGATCCTAATTTTATGGCTGACCCACATAGCTTCATATTTGCTAAAGTGTGCTGTGTCCTTTATTTCAAGGTTTGTGTTAGAAAGAATTTTGATCTTGCATCCAGGGGGCCCTGGTTGAATTAAATGAGAGTTTATATCTGTGTGGCAGGTTTCTTAATAATTTAAAAAATAGGAAATGTTTTTGCTGTTATCTTGGACTGAGTACACGTGTGTGTGGAATTCAGCTTTTAAGACGCAGCGCCTGTAAGTATCTAGAACTGCAGTGACTTGACTTACCCAGATGGAGGTGGTGCTTTTTACTTGTCTCTCACTTTGTGCAGGAGAGGACATCAAAGTTCCAGTTTTAGCCATCTTCCCAGAAGATGACACATACATGTAAGGACTGATGACTTACCAGGTGTAAAGACTATTAAAAGGAGAGTTGTTTGCTGTGTTAATCCCGGAGAACTGTGTTTGGCCAATAGGCAGTAAGTAACTAGTGAAGAGAACTAGTATTGGGAGTTTGTGCCATGTCAGGGTGGATGATCAGTTTGAAAGAACAGTTGTCTTCTGAAGGGTAGACAAGTTGCACGTGTGTGTGTCACTGAAGGTGTACAGAACTCCTTCACATGTTCAAGTGCAGGCCAGTGGCATTAACAGGTCTGTCCTGTGGGTGGGAGGTGGAATTACACCTTTTGCCCTGTGGTGGGTTCATCCCAGACGGCAGCCAAGCATCCACACAGCTGCTCGACTGCTCCCCTCTACCCCCAGTGGACATGGTAGGAGGAGCAGAAGTGAGAAAAGTTGTGGGTCAAGATAAAGACAGTTTAATAAGTGAAGGAAAGAGGGGAGAAAAAAACCCACCCTAACTGATGCAAAGGCAATCACTCACCCCCTCCTACAAGCAGACTATGCCCAGCCAGTCTCCAAGCAGCAGCCACCTTGGAAGTCAAAGCCCTCCACCCTCTTTTTCTTCTACCTCAGTTTAATGGCTGACCATGACATTAAATGGCATGGAATATCCCTTTGACCAGTTTGGGACAACTGGCCTGGCTGTGTCCCCTCCCAGATTTTTGCCCATCCCTGCGGGAGTGCAATGATGGACTCTGCACACTATCAATATGATCAAGCAAGAAGCCATTTATTTGTTCTAATACAGTTATATTTATACCCCAAATTGATGAAATCACACACATCTGCTAATATGTTTTTGGCTGTTTACTCGTAGCACGAGCTGTTCACGTGCCCTTTTCTGCATAGCAGTTGGCTGATAGACTTTGCGTGCTTCCTTTATTGTTTGCTTGCCAAAGTACATCTTCTGTTAGATTTCAAGGCTCCTTCCTCATATCTTGTCGACTCAGCTGCTGACATCCCGGTTTCGATTCTGCCTTTTCGTGCCTCCAGACACGTACCCCCTCAGGGTATGCCAAGATACGTTCCCAGAATCCCCACAATTCCCCTCTTTTCTTCATGGAGCAGAAAAAGACTTTAGTTAAACATTGCAATATACAAGGTGTTATGACAATCACAACAAAACTGAATACAATACTGGTTAAGAGTTTCCAACAGAGATACAAGCCAAAAGCTTAAGGCCTAACTTATCAGTTACATGATTGCTTACATACTCTTAAGCTGATAACACATACATGAACAACTTTGCATTGATTAAAAGCTATTGTTCACGTGCTTGGTTATAATACTTGATTGATTAGCTAAGGCGAATCACTCACACTCTGGTTCCGCTATTCCTGACACAAAACGGTCGAATCTTCCGCCTTTTTAAAGCAGTCAAACGTAATTAAGGTCACTCAATTCCACAAACCCTTGTTCAACTTCACAATGTCCATTTGCTTTTAGAAACCCCACACATCCCCATCCTAGTTGCTGGGTGGGCAGAAGGAAAAAGAGAAAACCTTGATGTTGGGCAAGCACTGCTCAGCAATAGCTAAAACACTGGTGTGTTTTGTAATGCTCTTTTGCACACAGATCCAAAACACAGCACCATACCGGCTGCTGTGGGGAAAGCGAACGCAATCCCAGTCAGACCCAGTACATGCCCACAGTTCATCTTTGAAGCCTAGCATAAGCAATCTGGCCTCTTTTTTGTTTCTTCCCCCTCCCCGCCCCCCCCCCATCACAAATAATTGTGATTAATTTTTTGGTTTTGTTCCTGTTTTTTTCTTTTTCCAAGGGTAGTGGTTTTTTTTTAATGGAAGTTGAGATCTATTTAGTTACATGAGGTCAGGAGCCAGGACAGAGCCTTAACTAAAACTTCCCAACAGTGTGGGCAAATTGAACTTCATTACCCCGAAGATATTTAGGTGAGGCCTGACAGGTCCAGATCTCTCCAGGGGAGGGAAGGGTGGGGCAGAAGCTGAGGCAGACTGGAGTACAGTGCTCCAAGGACCCAGGCTTTTCTGTATTAGGGCTGGCAGTGGTGCTTCTGAGAAAGCACCACCTATGGTTTTCACATTTCTGGTGCAGGCAGCTGGCCCTGGTTGTTGGCTGTTGTAGGCAGCATTATTTTATCTATGCCTAAAACCATTGACTGATGATTGAAGAAAAGCAGTAAGTGTGACAGGAGGTGTGATAGCATCCTAGGAGTCAGCAATACTGGCATAAAACTTCATTATTTTTCAGTGATCCTGAGATGACACTGTTGTCTCTGTCACCTTACATGTAGCAGTAAAATAGTTAAATACAAAAGATCACAGTAGTGTGCCAGTAACAGTCTTTGTGGAATTCTTGCCCAGGGATCCAAGTGTAAACTTTATTTTAATGTGCATTTTTGAAGGTGGACTATGAGACATTAACACCTTTATTGTAGCAAGTTCAGAAAGTATTTAGCCTTTGCTGCAGGTGGGAAACAATTGTTTGTGATCGCGTGGGGAGGTAGTGAGTTAGTTTTGTCTCAGCGAGAGCATAGTGTTTTGGAATAGAACAAGGAGTTCCAGTAACTTAAAGCAGTTGAGGAAACTCACAGCCTTTTTCAGAAACTTTTGTTCAAATGAGCAATGTTATACCCTTAATACACTTGAGATAAATACTGGAAGTTTACATAATGATTTGCAGTTGGAATGGAAGAGGTCTGACCATCTTGTACCCTAGCCCTGGAAGACCTGCAGCATCCTTTTGTAAAGGTGTATTAGTCATCAAGTTTTTTTTTAATTACTTGTATTCTTTCACCTGAGGTGAAATTCTGACCTAATTAAAGTTAATAGTTGACAACTGTTGAAACAGGCAGACTCAGAATTTCACCCATACTGTTTAGGTACTTTTAATTGGAGTATAGAAATAATTAGGGTATGAAGATGACTTAGGTAGCAAAGATAGATAGACAAAGCTGTGGAAAGAGAATAGCAATGAATAATAACAGACATAAAGGGATGTGTTTTTTTAAAAATATTAAAGAAGTGATAACTTAAAAAGATTTAATATTATATATTATATTATGGTATATTATATATAATACAATATGTATAATAAAAATCAGAGAAATGGTAAAAATAAGTCAACTTATGTGAATTATATTCAAGGATTAGTGCACTAAATAGCTGGGCAAAATTAGCTTCAATTATACTGTGATTTATATCTCAAAGCAGGCCAGGTATTGCAGGGATTGCAATGAGGCTGACTCAGTGTTTTCTCTAGAAGGTTCAAGGTGACTATGTGCAAGCCAATGAATGCATAGATGATAAATGAGAATTATTCAGAGATTAACATGTCCTTACTGTATCCTGATTTTAGAACTTAGGCACTAGTATAGCCTGCAATGTCAAAAAAGAGAATAGCCCAGAACTAGCTCTATTACCCAGGCTGCAGTGGTCAGTAGCATTCATCACTTGGCTTGAATTGTCTCCAGTGATAAAAAGTGAATAATCAGCATGTTACTTATACCTATGAGATTATTCTTTCCGCAGCATGACTGCAAGTGTCATCCAGAAGGACCAACTTTTGCTGAGTCCTACAACGCAGGAATTAAAATAACGCCTTGAAACAGAAGTGTTTAAAGGAAATCACCTTCTTTTCTGCTGTTAATAGACTTGCTTTTAGTTTTAGATTTGTATTTCCCAAATGGCAAGTTATTTAAGGTATTTTGTAAAATGCTCAGTGAGTCTTGACCTCAGAACCAATTTATTTTTAACATGACAAAAAGTTACCTATTTCCATAATACTACGTGTAGTCATAATGACAAATTTTATAAATTACAGCCCCCATTGATGTTTGCATCACTATTCTTTACAGTATAAATTGAATTTAAGAATAACTTGGTGAGTTTTATTTTTAAATTGTCTAGGAATGTGAACCACATCTCTGTTTGGTTTTTTGTTGTTGTTGTTTCTAGTGGAAGCTTTATGGTATTTTAATAATTTCCATAGCAGAATATTACTGGTTTCTCCTGGTTTTTATGTGATCAATTTCATTATTTCTCATACATATAAAACATGGTAGAGTTTTCAATACTTTTTTTGAAAAACTTCTCCCACCTAATTGTTTTTCTTTCTCCTTCTTAGTCTGCTCCCAGTTTTCAAGAGGAGTCTTTGCTATTTTTGGATTCTATGACAAGAAGTCTGTAAATACCATAACATCATTCTGTGGGACTCTTCATGTCTCCTTCATAACTCCCAGCTTCCCAACAGATGGAACACATCCCTTTGTCATTCAGATGAGACCTGACCTCAAGGGAGCTCTTCTTAGCTTGATTGAATACTATCAGTGGACCAAGTTTGCATATTTGTATGATAGCGACAGAGGTAAGATGTGGTACTTTTTATCTACATGCTAGGTGTATCTAGATGTTTGCTAGGTGCATCTCACCGAAATGCAGAACTTGTATTAGAAAAGTAAATGAGGAAAAGAATATTTACCTGCAGCAAGTCAAAGTATAAGCTTAAATTTAAAAATGAGCTTTTGGGGCAGAAACAAAATTGTTTAAATGAGAAGGAAATTATTGCAGTATGTATTAATAGAATTGCAAGCATGTGCTGATAAACAGTGTGAGGTTAATCACATGCTGTAAAATAGTTCCTATGAAAAGTTTTTTCTTTTTTTTTAAAGAATCATTTAAGGAGAAAAAAAAACAAAACACAACCATCTTGAGCATGAAGGGCAGTTTGCTACCACAGATTCACTCCACACATGCAAAATTGATAGTTGAGCACCAAGCAAGCAAGAATCTTGGATGCAGTCCCTGCTTCTTTGAGACTGCTTTTGATAAATACTTGAGTTCCTCTCCTCTGTTGAGCTTAGATTTTTTTGGATATTATTGTTGATAAACCCAAATCCACTGTTTGTGAGCAGTTTACTCCATGGTACAGCTTACTCAAGTCCTATCCTCTTTTATGGCTGTAGTGATAATAATATAACAGTTTATGAACTGGGAAAAATCACTTGCAAATTGTTTTATTAGTTAGTTTTCTGAGAAGAAGTAGCATGATACAGAAGCAGGGTTTTTTTGACTTCCCTTTCTGGAATTCCATTCTTGTAATTCTGTTTCCAGGTTCTCCTTACCTAGTAGTCCTTGGCTAACTTTTTTCTGTTCTTACCTTATCCTGTTAACTTTGAAAAGGCTATTTTGTAGCTCACCTGCATGTTCATTGGTCAGAGTTGAATATTAAGTGCACATTAAATGATAAGATGCTACTAGCTTTAAAGGATGGTTATATCACACCATGGTTTGTTGAGTAATGGAGTGACGTTAGATTCTCTGCATTCTGATGCCTTTTTATCTGTTATGTTGTTCAGAAGCTGAAATGACATCCTCAAGACAGTTCTTTATCACTGTTGTATGCACTAAAGATAGAAAAACTAGTACTAGTATGTAACCTTGTCACATCCTGGACTCCTGCCTGTAAAGTTTTCCCATAGCAGGAGAGGTGGAAACATGACTCAGGTGACATATATTTAAGGAATGGTACATAATTTAAAACGTTTCTAGCTTCAGGAGTGAGATAAAAAAAGACAGAGAGGTTTACCCTTCATGGAAGCTGTGAAAGCTAATAGGAATTAGTTTGATGACTTATTCCAAAAGAATCATTTATTGCTACTTTTACAGCTCCTCTGTGCTTAGGGGCTGACTGGTTGAAGTGCAGGGCAATTTCGTATGTCATTCCTATCTTTAAGAAGAGAAGCTATTCAGTATATGCATGTCCAAGCTACTATTGCCATAATATGGCAGTTGCTGTCATGTAATATGGATTAGTGTCCTTTACCATCCTTGCTTCCTCTGTGTTGCCAGTACTAACAGTGAGTTTTGGAAAAAAGTAGTGACATTATTGGAGGATTCTATCTGTAACAGAATTGCTAATTTACTCAACCTCTGTTTAGTCCTCCTTTTAGAGCTCATTCAATTAAGAGTTTGTCTCATGATAACCAAAAGAGATTTGGATACATGAAGTTCCCAAACAGAAGTGTTTCTGCAGTTTAAAAAAAGCAACTAAAGTTGCTGGAGTTTTCGCCTCTGCAGGGTCCCACTTCTGTTACCACTCTCCAGATACTTCCACATCCACAGAAGTATTGCTGTGAATGCTTTTTTTGTTTGTTTTCTGTTGTTCTGCGATGTGTTACTGCTATCAGAATAAACTAAACTGTACGGGGATGACAAATCTGCCACCTATAAAAAGCAAGAAATCTTTGTAATGGATAGTATTAACATTAATAGCCCTTATTAATTTATGCCTAACTGAGATTCTGTTTAACTCAGAGGAAACATATAGACAGATTAGAGGACCTGAAATCTACTAAATGAGATCTGAAAGAATGATTCAAATTATATCCACTTCAGTTTTGTTGTGGTTTGTTTTTTAAATTATTTTAAGTTAACATTTAAAACATTATTTTGAGATATAGACTTATTTTAGTGCTTTTTAATGTTTTAAAATATTCCCTACATCTTTTAGTTTGCTTGCATTAATTATCTTTTCCTTTTAACACGAGTTCTCCACATTTATCTTTAACATGTTATAAATGTTTATATATACCCTTGGACTGTACTTCCATGCAGTTCCATACAACGTAAATATTCGCTGCATGACTTACAAAGCTTTGAATCAGTCTTCTTTAAAGCCAACATGGAAAGCCAGAACTATTTGAGATAATAATTGAATTTATGATTTTGGAAGTGTACCATTTTCTGCCTTTGCTGATGCCCAGTCTTATATGGTGCTGTATGTCATTACCATTTTCACTGATAAAGCTGAATTGCTAAACACTGACCAATCTTAATTTAATGATGTATTTACAAACTATCAGGCAAATTAATTCTTAATGCTTTCTTTCTATGTCCGTGGGCATAACCACTATCATTTCTCATGAGAGTTATACCTAAAGCTTCCTTTACATACCAAGTCAGAAGTTTGTCTCAAAGAAATGACGCCTGGTGTTCTGTGGTTTCAGGGGAGGTGAATGTGCTAAAATGTCAATTGTCTTGTGAGAAAGTCTAATTTTCTTTTTTTCTAAAATACTATCTTCTATCCTTAAAATTGCTGTCTAGAATTATGTGGAATTCTCTGGAAGGAATTTAAACATAAGTCTAATTCCTGTGCTGCTGGAAATTGTTAAAATGGTATTTGTTGTATAGCAGAAATTGGTTTCCAGCAGTAATTTTCATGTTGCTTAAATATTATTATTTAATCTTTGAAAAGGAAAACCAGTCAAGTAAAATTGCTACTGATTTTGCAATATGTTATAGGCAGTTGCAGCTGTACAGACATTACAGCCTCCTGGAAGGAACATGTCAGAAGGATAAAATGAAAGCAAACTTCTGTAGACTGCTTGTAGATGTTAGCATTGAGCCTACTTATCTATATGGAAAAATATATCTTGGCACATCTTCTTTCATAATGAGGAATATGATTGTAGACAACAGAAATAATGACTCTGTTTCAGCACCACTGCAGAATGTGGGAATTTTTCCATAGACCTCAGTGAGGTCAGGGTTTAAACACAGTACTGCTCGAACACTGAGAATGAAAGCAGTTCAATAGCATTTCATAATAACCAGCTGATCCTCTTGCTGTAATTGGATCACTTCTAGAAGACCTCTTCCCCAGCCTGTGGAATCCCAGCAATGGATCAGTGAAACTGACAAAGTACCATTCTGAAAAAGGTTGAAGCAAAACCAAAAGGTTGTCCTTTCCAGGCTGTACCCTGATTCTGCACAGCAATGTAAACAGAAATTTCATACAATAAACTGATTTGGCCCACACATATCTTCGTATCTGAGTCCTAACAAGGTGTGACAGGTCAAACAAGTTACTGGGACATCTTAAATAAGTAATCTCATTAATTACGTTCCAGAAGCTTGTTATTCCTGTAGCATTATCAATCATATTTTCTGTTTCCTCCTGTGCTTCACTAGGCTTATCAACATTGCAAGCTGTGCTGGATTCTGCTGCTGAAAAGAAATGGCAAGTGACTGCTATCAATGTAGGAAATATTAACAATGACAGAAAAGATGAAACTTACCGTTCACTGTTTCAAGATCTAGAGGTAAAAAAGGAAAGACGAGTCATTTTGGACTGTGAACGTGATAAAGTCAACGACATTGTTGATCAGGTTTGCTATTCTCTTGTTTTTCAGTGACAGCAATTAGCTAAATTCTATAACTAAACATAATGAGTTCATTTCTCTTGATCCTATTTTGATGATTATTATGCATCATTTGGAAGTGAAAGGTTTGTATTGAGGACCACATATATATCAAGCAGAGAGTGAACATACTAATCCTATAATCCCTCCCTCTGTTCAAAGGCAATATAATTCTATCTTCATGATCCTGTATGGTTTTGTATCCTGATTATTTAAAAAAAAAAAAATCATCTCTTTAAGGCTGTTTCACAACCTAAGTAGTATACTATATGTAGTTGATAGACTATTATATCTGGTGCATTATAAATACTTATATTATGTCTAGGGCTTAGTTCTTACACCTAGAAAGTATTTTCTACTTCTAATGCTTTTTCCAAGAACTTTTCACATTTTGGAAGGCTGTATCAACAGCTTCTCTTTTCCATTTAACTCTGTCTGTAGTTCATGTTTCTAAGCTCTGTAATTTTTACTATGCTTGGGTCTCTCTTTAGTTTTTCTCCCTCTTAATGTTTGTAGCCAAAATTGAATGCTTTTTTCCATAGCTAAGGTCTCCTGAACTTTAGACAGAACGGAAAATTATGACTTCTCTCCACCTGCACATATATTATTTGCCAAAATGTTTTTTTTTTAAATTATTTTTTACAACAGTATCACAGTACTCTGATTCGTGCCAAAATGATTTTTTTTTTAAATTACTTTCTTTTTTACAACAGTATCACAGTACTCTGATTCAAATTATTACCTTCAAATCCACCCCTTCAATCCTAGTTTTTTAGGAAGGTCTTACTGTCTCTGTCTTATTTCTTCTTTTCATGTATGCAGAGCATAATGAAAATTATACAGGTAGCTTTCTGCTGACTTGAGCTTGACCATGTGAGACTGTGCAGCATCTGTATGGATATACCATTAGAGTGTAGATGTATTGGTTTGAAGCTTTTTTGAATGGTTTATTATTTTGGTCTTTGTTATCAAGGTCGTTACATTTTGGAGAGGCTCAGGCTAACGAGCAGTGTCATGAATGCAGTGCATTGTATTTGTCTCTTTTATTTGTAATTCATATGCATGAGCTGTTTCTCTAATTTTCAAGATGAATTTGAATTTGATCCTTTTCTCCAGAGCATTTGCAAGCTCTCTATCATCTGCAGTTTTTTAAAATCATATTTTCTGACTTGTTATCCATGTCAAGAAATGTACTGAGTAGAGCAGTGCTTGAGAGAAATAATACTTATAGGTCCTGTTCAGCTTCTCTGTGTGGCTTTTCAAATGGTTGTTCACTAACCTTACAGGGACTTTTGACTGTGTTGCCTTAAGAGCTTGTAATGATGTCATACAGAACAAAAGCCTTATAGACTTCAGATACATCTCATCTGCCATTTTTCTCATTATCCATTAGGCTAGCTATGATGTCAGAGAAAGGAAAGATATTGCTTTGACATATTTTGATCTTGACAAGATTGTAATATTGACTGTTTATTATCTTACTATCCTACAGATTATTTTAAAATAAAGTATGTAATATTTATTATAATATCTTCCCCGATATGAAAGTTAAATGACTCTAAGTTTCTTCAATTTCTCTTTTACCACTTTTTAAAGACAAGAACCCTATTTACCCTTTAGTTACCACTCATTTTTGATACCTTGTTTTAGTAATGACCTGTTATGTTCTTTGTCATCGTCTTCTTTTGATTGCAGCTCTGGGATTTTTTTCTTGCCCTGATTGCACTTTGATAGATTCTGCCTTGTTGAGTCTTAGGTTTTTCTCAGGTTATCCCCACAGAATTGTTCTACTCCTTAAGTATAAGGATGGATAAACTTTTGTTTCTGCTGTTTTGATTTCTAAATCACTTAAGAGTTCTAGATAACTGTGGATCAGCCACACGGGTCAGTTATTATAATTCCAGTTAGTTCTTCTCCTCAAATACTTTTCTGCTATGCTGTAGAATATAGTCTATTAAACTGTCTCGTACAAGTTTAGCCTTGAGATTCTCTTTGCAAGGTACCCTAGCAGTTTCTGGAGTTTGGTCTGTTTTTTAAGTCTGCTACGCTTTCAGTGTGTTTCTGTTAACTTCCCTTCCGTACATAAATAGATAAACCCACTTTCAATTTCTCAAGTAGCCTAAAATAAAATCTAAGTAAAAATTTTCTGTTAATTTCTTTACCCCTTAACATGGTCTGTGCTGAACAAAGGATTTCTTGGTCTGTCAGTATCCTTTGAGTATGTTCTTCTGATTTTCTTTTCTAAAAGCAGAATAAATACTACTACCAGATCTGTTCTTTAAAAAATTCTTTTGATTCCTGCCCTCAAAACAACCCTCAGCAGTTTCCTTCTTTTCATGAGGGTGAATGAAGTAGGCCCGTTGTATCAGTATCCCTTTTTTTTTTCTTTGTATTTTTACTGAGACATGCAACAGGCTTTCTGTTGACCAGATTTTTCTTGAATACTGAAGTATTACTTGCATTATTGATATGTAGAGCAGCATCTTTACTTTCTTCCTTGCTTTCCATTCTTGAACAAAGCTGCTGTTGTAGTGCTTTGATTTATCCTACTAACTTTCTAAGCTGTGGTGGTGACCATAGGTTCAACCAATTATGTTCTGTAGTCCTAGGATCTTTGTGTAGACACTTAATATATTTACAAAGTTGCTTCATTGTTTTTGTCTTGTGTTATAGTTTCTCCTCCAGATTTCAGTCATTTATATAAGTCAAAGTTGAAAAATATTTCAGTTCCTCAACTTTCTAAGACTAGTTTATATTCCTCTTCTCTGATTGGGCAGTTCTGTGTTACTATGCTTTTTATTATATAGCTTCTGTCTCTCCTCAGACAACTTCCTTTGCAGAATCTCACTTTCCCTTGATAACGCTATTTGGGCAGCTGTGCAATTACTGCCACTTCTTGTCTATTCCTGCTTGAGATGCTAGTCTAAACTTAGGGACATTGGTGAATACCTTTTGTGTCCATAGCTCCTTCATCATGGCTTTTGGAGCCAACACTGAATCTTCTCAGAGTTTTAACTGGCAGCATCCTTAGTCTTTATATGGATGAGTAGCACAGGGCAATGTTTTAGAAAGCTAGATTAATGAAATAGTACCCAGTGGCAGTCAGAGCAGAGTTACTAATGATTGATCTAAAGACTTGCAGCTACTGGTCATGTTCTCAGATACCAATAAGAAAGAAGCATTTTATGCAGAAGAGCTAATTTGTTTGGTGTAACTGAAATTTCTTTGGAAGCAGCAGTTGCGTAAGAAACAATTCTTAAATGTTTTAATAAGTAATGAGTTTTAAGTAGTATGAACCAAGTAACTGCTTTAGAATAATTACCTTCATATATCATGTATATATTAAGGTCAAAAGAGGAATAATTGAATAACTTCTGTGGCCTATATAATGTGATCTCTGTGTCTCAAACTCCAGTAATATAAAACTAAGTGCTGAACACTGCATTCAGTTATATTCCTGTAACTTCATTAAAGCAAGTATGTGGAATGTCGTTCACTACTAGCCTGATAAAAGTTACAGGATACCTCTTCTAAATATTTAGGTATATTTTAAATGGGGATATTAATGAATTATCCTCCGTTGATTTAAGTTGTTCTCATTGTGCAAAAGATGTAAGAAACATCTGCAGTCCTTTTACCACCCACATACTTTCTCTGGAGAAGTGTTTTGCTTCAAAATGCAAACTTCCCTGTGCAGACATAGTCTTAATTAGGATTATTCGGGAAAAGACTCCATGGTACATGCCTGACAGTGGAAACTGCTTAGAAACTACTAGCTGGCTTTGAGGGAGATTATGAGAAAGCCTTAGGGCAATAAACAACAATTTTAACCTTTTAAAAGACCCCCTCATAATGCAGATGCTTTCATTAATGTCAGTGGGCTTTTAAACTTTTTCTAGTTCAAGGAATGTTACAATTCTGCTACAAAGGGAGCAGAATCTAAGCAGGAATCTCTGAGGCACAGTGCTCCTACTGCATGAATCTCGCTCCCTCCTGTCCAGGTTGTGCCTTCAATACACAGCATAGTAATTAGCATTCAGCTCATCTATTTACAGATCTTGGGACTTGGACTTCAGCATGACTAATTTCTGCCAGCAGAGAGTATGTTCAATGGTGCATTAGATAAAATAATAAAAGTAAAGCACTGAACAAACTCAGTATTACATCCCATAAAGCTCATAAAAAGCTTTTACATCATACTGCATTTTATAGTTTTTAAGTCTCAGTCCATGTATCAGGTGAACATTCTCCATTATGGGGATATTTCTTCTTTTTTACAGGTTATCACAATTGGTAAACATGTGAAAGGATACCATTATATCATTGCAAATCTGGTAAGCATTTTTAATATTTAAAATACCTGTATTACTCATTTTACTCTTTATGGAAGCACATCAACTAGTATTTTGTTTTAAATGCATTTTACAAAATAGAGAAAAGCTAAAGTCTTTATCCTTGCTAAATGAATGCATGTGTTGAGAGGGTATTTGTTATATTGGCTGGGTCTTTTCAGGGCTTAAATGCCTCTTGTGATATTCCCATCAATGGGAGTGAAGGTTGCTCAGCACCTTTGGTAGACCTTTATCCCTTTTTCTACTTACTGTAGAAAAGTAGGATGTGGAAATCAGAAAAATCACTTTCTGCTCTATAGATTGATACATTCATTCAGCAAACTGATGTTTCTTCTCTCACTTCTAAAGTACTTAAAATTTACAGTTCTCAGCTTTGATTCTGCTAGACTAGTGAGTCTCGGCTTTACACATCTTAATTCCTCAGAATGACTTGATAATCAGTTTGAATTAATTTTTCTTGAACATAGGTGATCCGACAGTATAGCTAATAAAGGGGAAAGTTCAGGAAGCTCACTAAATTCTCTCAAGGTAATTTTTTTGAAATTGTGTCTAAAGAAGAAGGGCCATTTTACTCATGTTAAAGTCAACAACACTTACTTAGTGAAGCCAGGGAATATTTTTTTGTAAAAAATAAAGGAAGTTATGCAGGCTTGAATCTCAGTTACTCTGTTCCAGAAAAGAATTTTGGGGTTTGCATGGTGTGAGTGCCTCTGAATAATTTTTTCCACCATTTATTCTTGGACTGTGATAGCGTTTGATATAAATTCCAGCAGAGCCCAGAGTGCTCTAATTTATGCTCTGCCTTCCACAGTCCTTTGAGGGACCTGAGGAAAAAGAACGACTGCAGTGTGTCTGTCACACTTCAGACATAACCCTTATGTCCTCCCAATCTTTGATCAAAACACTTCCCCCTCCCAGGCGGTCGGTATTTTGAAGAATCACATATGTCGCCAGACAGGTGTGAAGAAGCCTTATATTCTAAAGGCCTCTTTAAAAGCAGAGCAGTGGGGTTTAATTCTTATATTTATTAGATAAATTTTAGGATAAAGAAGTTAAGGTTCTAATATTCACAGAGCAAGCAGAAAAATCTTACAAAATTTGAAAAATACTCTTAACTTTTAGACATTTATATTTTGCATTGCAAATGTTGTATAAATAATATTTTGAGTCTTAAGGGAAATAAACATTTTAGAAAAATTGCCTACTGTATTTCATTGTGTTAACTGGTTGCTATTTTAGCCATTACTTCAGGTTTGTAACAGTAAGCCCATGAGATCTAAAACCTACTGAATCTTGTATTTTAAACCTGTTTAATATTGTATTTGCTTCCTAAAGGTTTATACAGTTTAAATTCATATATTGTAGGTCTTTTGTATAATATCATATAAAATATATATGACAATGTTTTTTAAACTGTTTTTTAATCTGACAGAAAGAAAACTTATTCAGTACTTGATCACATCCCATATTCTTCACTAAATCTACCTTCTTCTTTTCTTGACTGTAATAATGTTCTCCTCCAGTCTGATCAGTCAGTCAAGAAATTGATCTGTTTTAAGAATAAAATGTACTGATAGGTGGAGAAGAAGTCAGAGTATACAACGAATGTGCCTGTTCAAACATCGCGCTCACGATAATATTGCAGAAAGTTTCATGATCCCTGTAGAAGTGTCGATATCAGCACGAACCAATACATCACTGATGAGTATCGTTAATACGCGATAATTAAAGAACACCCGCATAGCAATTGTAGCAACTTCTCTTAATGTGGTCTAAAGTTGATACTTCTTTTTACATTCACTCAGAGCATTCCTTTAAACTGAAGTGCCTGAAATCAGTATTTCATGTAGATTCATTTGTATGTTTATTAGGGGCAAGTTAAAACACCGAACATGGAAAACAAAACATATGTACTGTTTGTAAGAATGAGAGCTAATTCCTTATACTGGAGGGCGGAGGCAGGGGAGATACTAAGTCATTCCACATGCTTTAGTGTTCCTAGTAAAAAGAGGACATAACTGTGGCTGTAATTATTCCTGGCTAAAACTTGCTTGCCTAACTGTTACTCATGCCAGTGTTCCCTTTCTCATTTAAGCAGTCCTGCTGAAATTAACAGGATTGTTTAGGAAGGTAAGCATGGCAAGGACAGATCCACTCAACCCTTGCTCTGTAAAGGTGTATGTCTCATGAGCAGCAAGAGGCATTGCTGGCTGGTGAAGCTGATGACTTAATCCTGGCAGCCCAGGATTTAAACTTGGAGCCTGTTTGAAGAAAATGTTGGCTTACACTTCAGCAGTAGAAGTCATATGGTAATTCTTTATTTGTATATACACAGATCTGCCAAAACTGTTGGAATAACAGACATAATGTTTTCTGTGCCCAGGGATTTACTGATGGAGATTTGTCAAAAATTCAGTTTGGAGGAGCTAATGTCTCAGGATTTCAGATAGTTGACTATGATGATCCCCTGGTGTCAAAATTTATACAACGTTGGTCAACACTGGAGGAAAAAGAATATCCTGGTGCACACACTAGTACAATTAAGGTATGTCTTGTATTTGCTTTAACCGTGTCAGATGTACACGAAGTGGGGGAATTGGAATAGAAAGACAAGAGACAGAGAATGCCCTTCAGAATCAGCTGTGCCAACACAGTTTTATGTTTCTCTGAGGTACTTGTAACATTCTCTACAATAGAACTGGCTGAGCAAAGATGCTGCACAGTCAAAAATGTTAAAGACAACTTTGATTTTTCTTGTGTCACTGTAAATCTGCACCTGACAGCTTGTTAGGTAGTTGTTTTGGATGTGATGATATATGAAGTATCTAATGGCTTTTTTGGGGGTTTTTCTCTTTCTCTGTGTTTTGAAATGTTTTAAAGGCAAATATGTAATCATACGTAGGCTCCCAGGGAGCACGGATCTAGCACTTTCTGATATAACGTAGTCTCCCAAAGAAATGGTAAGATAATTGCTTTGAAACAAATGCCTAAATCCTACACAGATTTTCAAAATTAAATGGTGTGCTTGAGGTACAGAATCATGGTCTGATTTCAGACCTGAGTGACACAAGATGTGACACAGGGCAAGCAGTTAAACTTCCTTACCTTGGTTTTCCCTCTGAATAAAACTAGTGTAATAGTATCTTCTTGCCTTCTGTGACCATTATGAGGATCAGTTAGTGCTTGCAAGATATAAAAAAGAATAACACAATTTTAATGCTAAATATTTTTTCATTTAAGTGGTACAATCAGAAATTTTAAGTCAAAAAGATAAATGCCAAATGTTCTAGGCATAACTTTTCTTTTTTGTCCTATAGTTTGAGTATGAAGCATATTCTTTATTTATAATAAGGTGAATAATAAATTTCAGCAAGGAATGGAAGAACCATTTATCATATTCCTGGAACAGAAAGCCTGTAAGGCACATAACCTTAATTTAAATTAAATTCTGAGACCAAATTTGGGGGTGACTTAGTCAAAGCTTTGATTTTTATGGCAGTTGTTAAATTTTAAAGTTTTTATGACAGAATAACAGAATTTCTCATTTAATGTTTGACAAAATAAACTAGAGTTTGTATCATGCCTTTAGATACATTCGTATTACATATGTGTAATGTATGTAACCTGTATTACTCTCATTTAGAAAAAGGGAAGGAATGTGACTGTGGGTGATTAAGACAATTCTTTTGTCTCTCTGATTCTTGAGTGCCCAAATCCACCTACCTACCTACTAATGTTGCAGAATCATAGTCTCAAAATAGTCACAGTGAAATGCATTATTAAAGTGGACAAGTCTAACTGAAACCAAGATGCTGTTTTTCTCATTGATGGAAAAACAAATCCATGAGACACAGTGTTAAAGATTCCAGTATCTCTGGTATTACTTACAGGAGGGGGGGAATTTCATGTGTGTTAGATGAGATGAAGTGGTTGCAGTGTTTTATTATAGCATTAAAATCTGTAATTTTATCACAGGTACTCCCTTTATTTTTCCCTGATAAGTCCTTTCGAGTCTACTAGAAATTGAAAAGGTTGAAGGAGAGTATTTGGAATATCTTACATTTTTGAGGCTTATATTGTTATGGATAGGAAAAATAAATGAATTGAAACATTTATTTTCATGAATTTCACTAATTTAAAACACGTTTTAAATTCAATTAAAAAGGCTGGTCTGTCTATATACTTTCTGCTCAAGGAATATACAGGATCACACTGGTATTCAGTCAAGAGATTGAGACTTACAGTAAATTATCAGATGATTTATAAATACTAGAGGTATTGATGGGGGGAAAACATGGATGTATATTGTTTGGAGAGATTGATTGTATTGGTTACTTTGTATAGCTTTCTGTCTTTTGCCCTCATACACATATTACTTGTCATTTTTGCCTGCCATTACATGTAAGGACAAAGATATGTCACATTTTATTCCCATCCTTGAGGAAGCCAGAGGCAGAGCAGAACCGTAGAAATCATAGAAACAGGGCAAGAAAGATCTTTGAGCGGTCAGTCACACAGCCCATCCTCCCTGCCTGAAGGCAGGATCAGATATACCTGTGCAATTACTGTGCATAGTGATTTCACAACTTTTCCAAGTGTTCTATTTCAGAGCTTGTTTTTTGTCTAACCTAAATCAGCCTTTGTGTTGCCTAATCCAGTACTCCTTTATCTGTTTCTGATATGATGTTCTCCTTTCTAGCTGTTCTTCTGTATTCAAAGATGGCTGCCATATTTGTCCTTGCTTTCCTTCCCGCTAAACGAAATAATCCCTTTTCCTTTGAATTTTCTAGTCTCAAATCCTGTTCGTTGTTTTGCTCTGTACCCTTTCTAATTGGTACCCATGCTCTTTGAAATGCCACGCTGGGTACTGGATCACATCTGAGTGCTATGTTGTAGAAATAAAAAGAATGGCTTCATGTATCTCAGAGACAGTACTCCTTTCAGGGCTTTCTTTTCTTTGTGTTACTCTATTTTTTTTCTCTTTTTTTTTTTTTTTTAATTTTTTCCCTCACCATCATGACACTGTTGAAATATATTTATCATGAGATCCACCATAACTTTCAGATCTTTTTCTGCATTGCTTTTCTGCCGATCATAGAATCGTAGAATGGTTTGGGTTGGAAGGGACGTTAAAGATCATCTAGTTCCAGCCCCCCTGCCATGAGCAGGGACACCTTCCACTAGACCAGGTTGCTCAAAGCCTCATCCAGCCTGGCCTTAAACAATTCCAGGGACGGGGCATCCACAGCTTCTCTGGGCAACCTGTTCCAGTGTCTGACCACCCTCACAGTGAAGAATTTCTTACTAATATCTAATCTAAACCTACCCTCTTCCAGTTTAAAGCCATTTCCCCTTGTTCTATCACTCCCTGCCTTTGTAAAAAGTCCCTCCCCAGCTTTCTTGTAGCCCCTTCAGGTACTGGAAGGCCACTATAAGATCTCCCTGGAGCCTTCTCTTCTCCAGGCTGAACAGCTCCAACTCTTTCAGCCTGTCCTCATAGGAGAGGTGCTTCAGCCCTTGGATCATCCTTGTGGCCCTCTTCTGGACTTCTGGATGATTTAGGCAGTGTCATACCATATCTGTGCACTTGATCATTTCTTTAAAGTACAGGATTTTTAATCTATTCTTGTTGAATTGCATTCCGTACCTGTCCTCCCTGAACATGCCATTCCTTCTTACATTAATATTCTAGCCATGTTTGTTGTCTTTTGCTTCTTGGAATAGTGTATAAATATCATGAGTTACTGAGAAGGTGAACTCACTGGTCTTCCATTTGTCCCTTCCATGATGTTATGAATAACCTTTCTCCCCTTTGGTTTTGAGGCAGTTGTCCAAATATTCAGTGGTTATAAATGAGCTTTTGCCACTATTTCCCATGGAATCTAGGAAGCTGTCACTTCATAATCTGTATGAAACAGATAGGAAGGCTAATAAAAGTCTGGTATTATCAATACAGAGATGAGAGGTCACATGCCCCTAGCAGATAATGTTATCCTTGGGGTTGCAAATGTTACCTCACTCCAGGCAATAGCATTGCAACTGTGTTGTGATCCAAAAGGAAGTATACATTCATTTGACATTATAAAATGCAAGTCAGTGGAATACGACTGAGCTGACGTGACAAGACATATCACAGCAGCCAAGTACAGTCCTGAAAATGGAGAAATACACCTATTCCTAAGAAAAAGTGATTTTCAAAGCAACGTGCTCTTCAAGAAAGAAAAACATTGTTGAAAACCCATTCCACAGATGCCCAGAAGAGGACCTAGATCAAATTGCTTTAAAAACCTATCTTCACAATTTATAAAATATTAATTAAAATTAATTATTAATTATGGCAGTCTTAAGATGTAGATTAGAAGAAACACTGATCTTATTTGTTGCTGCACTGTACTTGTACTGATAAAAACCACAAGATTTAAAGATTAAGCAGGACACTTAAAACTAGTGCTTTGCTGTCTTTTTACGAAAGGTCTTCTCATCTTTCAAAAGATATACTTTTTGATATACTCTTTACCTCAGATTAAATTGAAAATATATCTGTTGTAACCAAGGGTGTTACCAGTCTTTGCATGCAATTCTACAAGAGCTAATAATGTGTAAATCTTGAAACATACCACTGAGCATCCTGGCGAATTTCTTTGCCAAGTAAGAAAACAAAAGCTACATTTAATTTTATAAAGGCCTAATAATAACAAGTTGAAATCCCCTTTTGATCCATTATTATGTATTTACAAATATGCTGGGCTTTCTGAGCCTTAGTGTTGTCTCAGGCTATTTTGTCTAAGGCAAACCGCTTGCTGTTGTGGAAGGACACTGAAGGACGACAACACATGCACTCACATCCAACTTCCTAATCTGATTAACCCATTCTGTTTGAGGGCAGCCTTTGGTCTGATTCCATGAAGAAGCTCAGTTCATACCTCTTGAAGGCTAGTGAGACATGTTAAGTTATACTGGGTTTGTGTGGCAAGGTGTTGGTAGTGGGGGGGGCTACAGAGGTCACTTCTGTGAGAAGCTGCCAGAAGCTTCTCCCATGTCTGAGCCGGCCCTGCCGCTGGCCAAGGCCAAGCCCATCAGCAACAGTGGTAGTGCCTCTGGGCTATTTAAGAAGGGGAAGAAAAAAAAAATCTGTAGAACTGCAGCTAGAGAGAGGAGTGGGAATATGTGAGAGGAACAACTCTGCAGATGCCAGGGTCACTGAAGAAGGGGAGAGAAGAGATGTTGCTCCAGAGCAGAGATTCCCCTGCAGCCTGGGGTAAAGACCATGGTGAGGCAGGCTGTCCCTCTGCAGTCCATGGAGGTCCATGGTGGTGCAGATGTCCATCTGCAGCCCATGGAGGACCCTACGCTGGAGCAGGTGGATGGACAAAGGAGGCTGTGACCTCATGGGAAACCTGCACTGGAACAGGTTCCTGGCAGGACCTGTGGCCCATGGAGAGAGGAGCCCAGGCCGGAGCAGGTTTGCTGGCAGGACTTATGACCCCGTGGGGGACCCACACTGGAGCAGTCTGGTCCTGAAGGACTGTACCTCATGGAAAGGAC